GTCATAGTGGGAGACTTTAATACACTACTTTCTTTGAAAGATAGAACAACTGGAAAGAAACTCAACAAAGATGCAGAAGAGCTGAACAATACAATCCACCAACTTGGCCTTATAGACATCTATAGAGCACTTCACCCAACAACAGCACAATATACATACTTCTCCAGTGCACATGGAACTTTTTCTATGATAGACCATATGTTAGGCTATAAAGGAAGCCTTAATAAATTTAAAAACATCGAAATACTGCAAAGCATCTTCTCAGATCAAATTAGAAATCAACAATAGGAAGATCAACAGGAAAAGAGTAAACACATGGAAACTGAACAACACCCTCCTTGAGAGAGACTGGGTAAGAGATGAAATCAAAATTGAAATTCAAAAATTCCTTGAATCACATGAGAATGAAAACACAACATACCAAAATCTTTGGGGCACAGCAAAAGCAGTGATCAGAGGCCAATTTATAGCAATCAATGCACACATCAAATATCATCTGCCACTGATCTGAAATACTTTTATTATATATTAAATTTTTATACCTTTGACCTCATTACTCTATTCCATTACTGTCTTTTATGTCACCACACCATTTTATTCATGATAGCTTTTATATTGCCACATTGTTTAACCATGACAGCTTTTACATTGCCGCATGTTTTATCCATTGTGTGTTAGTAATACATTTTATATTTATTTTACTATATATTAGAATGTTGTATAAAGATATTTTTCCTTTTCTACTGTTTTCCAATGGAAACATATTAAAAACACACAATGATGAAAACTCCTTGGACCTCCTGATGATCTGTAATCTAGTCCATCCAGTTTCCTGCTCCCTCTCCTACAATTGATTGGTATATCTTTTGATTTAGTGATTTATTTAGTTAGCATGATATCTCAAAATGTTGCTTTCTCTAAAGCATAAAATGTGTTCAATAATCTTTTTAATATTGCCTTATTACATTTATTCCTAAGTATTTTATGTTTTTGGTCTGTTTTTTCTTTTGACAGTGAATGTTGTCTCTCTTATTTGATATTTCTATCTTACTTTTTGAGTTAGGAAAGTTATCAGTTTTTGCATGTTGCTTTAAAAACCAACCACCTCACTAGATTTTTTAATGTTTCTAATAGTTTGTCAGTGGAGAAACTTTCCTTAATAAATAATAAAAAAAAAAAAAGAAAGAAAGAAAGAAAGAAAAGCAAAATAAAATGAGGGTGTCCTTTTATTTCCTGGAACTGATAGGACTGCTCATGCTATTCCTAGTTTGTTTTTCGAAGGCACCATTAACATATGAATGATGGGTAGAATGCATTTTTATAAAGGTTTGGGAATAAGGAGCTATTGTACCACAGGCAGAATATAATTTCAAATTGACTGTTAGAAAGCCATGGCCATGAGGAATGTCTTACTAATACTGTAACTCCAGTAGCCTGAGTGTGTCTGCCATGTTCTCCTATCTTTCTTGCTAAACATTTGTAAATCATTGAGCTTGAGAAGAAGTAGTCCAATAGATACACTTTGTTTCAATAGCATGGTGCTTTAGAAATACATTTGAATTTACAGTCTTTCACAGAACATGCATTTTCCAAATCACCAATGTCTGTATTTTATACCTTTATATATCTGTGTTACCTGAAGATTATTAAAGACATTTTAGTTTGTCACTCCTCATTAGACTTTTCTTATTCTCTCCATTAGGGAACCAACTCTCCCTTGAGGGGTCAAATAGTAATGCCAAAATTTGGCGAACTAACACTTCACCAAAGATATTCAAAAGGCCAAAGAACACATGAAGGAATGTTTATAATAATTAGCCATTGTTGTTATGTGCTGTTGAGTACGACTCAACTCATAGTGACCCCTCCTTGGGTTTTTGAGGCAGTATCACTACAGAAGTAGATTTCTCAACCTTCCTTCTGAGGAGTGGCTGGAAGTTTGAACTGCCAGCTTTCTGGTTAGCAGTCAAATGCATTAGGCACTACGCTAGAGAGATACAAATCAAAACAACAAGATACTATCTCACCTCAGCATTAATAACAAAGTTCAACAAGACAGAAAATAATAAATGCTGGTGAGGATGTGGAGAGATTGAGACTCTGATACACTGCTGGTGGGACTGTAAAAATGATAAAAACAACTGTGGAAATCAGTTTGTCAGTTCCTTAAAAATTAAGAAATATTATGATTTGATACAGCAAACTCATTACTACATATATAGCATAAAGAAGTGAGAGGCAGAACACAAATAGATATATGCACACCCATGTTCACTGCAGCACTATTCACAATGGAAACAATCTGAGTGCCCATCAACAGAAAAATGGATAACCAAACTATGGTACATAGACACAATGGAATACTATGCAACATCAAAGAATAATGTAGAACCTGCAAAACACCACATAACATGGATGAACTTGGAGGACATTATGCTGAGTGGAAAAAGTCAATCACAGAAAGAAAAATACTATATTAGTCCACTATTGTAAAAAATCAAGGAAAGGTTTATATATGGAAGGAAGCTTTCTGTTTTAGTTAACCAAGGATGGAAGGAGACGGGAGGGAGAATTGCTATATAGATAAGAGACAAATATTGATTTGGGTAAAGGGAAAGGAATATATCAAAGTGAGTGACCAACACAATAACACTAAGGAAAAGGAAGACACAGAGAAGTACACACGAGATACAGACAACAAAGATAAACACTTTTAAATATACAATACTGCATTATCAGTAATATTAAAATTTAATCTATGGATAGATACATAAGTAGACAGGCTGAATGATCAGGTATGTCTAGGCAAAAGGAAATATACCCATGATCACATACAAGGTTAGCAGATAATATTTCAACACATATATTTATAAGTGTTGTAAGAATGTCCATATAAATGGAACTAACAGAGGACACAGTTATGATAACTTCTTAGCCACAGTCAACCACCTTAAGGGAATGAGTTGTTAGACCAGTGGACTCAGGACCATGGTCATAGAAGTCATCAAGCTCAATTGGCATAACATACTACACAAAAACTTTGTTCTGCATCCTACTTTGGTGAGTAGTAACTGGGGTCTTAAAAGTTTGCAAGGGGCCATCTGGATGAAATAAATGGTCTCTTCTTGTCTGGAACAAAGAAGAATGAAGAAAATCAAAGACACATAGAAACATTAGTTCAAGGGACTAGTGGACCATGTGAATCTCATCCTATATGACTGTGACACCAAAAGAACTAGATGATGCCCAGCTACCGCTGTCAACCACTTGGGAAGGGATCATCGCAGGCAATCCTGGACAGAGTGGGAGAAGAATGAGGAATAAAACTTAAAATCATAAAAAGGACTAGGTTTACTGGTCTGATAGAAACTGTGGAAACATCTGAAACTATAGTCATTGGTCAATCTTAGGGCCTGGAATTGAAC